CCCAAGCTCACGCTCTCGGGAACACGGGACACGGGACCATACATACATGCATGCATGCATGCATCCATCCATCCATCCATCCGGATGCATCCATCCATCCATCCGGATGCATCCATCCATCCATCCATCCATCCATCCATCCATCCATACATACATACATACATACACACACAGACATACATACATACCTATCTACCTACCTACCTACCTACATACCTACATACCTACATACCTACGTACCTACGTACACACGTACATACATACATACATACATACATACATACATACATACATACATACATACCTACCTACCTACCTACCTACCTACCTACCTACCTACATACCTACATACCTACATACCTACATACCTACATACCTACATACATACATACATACATACATACACACATACATACATACATACATACATACATACATACATACATACATACATACATACATACATACATACATACATACCAACATACATACCAACATACCTACCAACATACCTACCAACATACCTACCAACATATGATAGGGTGCTTAGAGGGAGAGGTCAAGAGGGATGGGGGAAACTAGATTTTTCTCAAGGGATCAAGGATTAAGACAACATGAAGCTCAAATATACTTATTGAAGCCCATCGAGCTTCAATGAACTTCATTGAAGTGTATTGGGGCTCATTGAGGATACAGCGCTTTCCTCAAAGCATTTGGGCTCAAATCTGGGTACCTCCAAAGGAGGTGTTGTGAGCCTTGAAGCTAGGTTGCACTTGATGAGCAACATTGAGAAGAATTAAGAAGAACTAAGAAGAATTACTATAACTATAATTGAGACCTGTTTCCTTCTGGCCAATTCTAGCCCTGTTGCCCTCCAGCCTTTGCAACCTTGAGGAACATGGATGATGATGAACCTGCAGTTGTGCCTTCGATTGTGCGTTACTTGCCTGCACCCTGACCCTGCATCTCTCAAAAAACACCCTGTCTCATCAGTTGTTTTTGTTTTTCTGCCTTTGCTGTGTTCTGAGGTAGCTTCAGCTTTGGACATGGGGCTGATCGCCGATCGATCCATGTGTTGCCTGCAGCGCCAGAAGCGCAAAGCCTTTGGATGCTGTCGGGGATTGCTGGGAACTTTTTTTCAACCACGGTGGTCAAGAGGGGTAAATCATCTTTGAGGCGTGCTTTCGAGCAAGCTTCGGAAGCACACAGAAAACTTTGGCCAGGGGTGGTAGTTCCCAAGATTGTGGATGGAGACTCTACATCTGAATCCTGTATGCCCACATCCTTACTTATGGCTTACATCGTACACATGATCTCAATGCAAAAAAGGGCCACTGAATTCCGGTTGAGGGCCTACCACTTACTCAAGGCTTTCATTGAGCGACTGGCCGTCCACCAGCCAATGTTGGATTTCTTGATTGTTGATGTCAATGGTCAAGGGCAATGGGTCACGCAACAGCTGTTATCGGCAGTTTCGTGCGCCCCATGGTCTACACAGTTTTTCCAACGCCATCTTCAAATGACATGGCTCAGTGATCTGTCTAGTCGAGACAAACCATGGGTAACTTCATTTCCATCGGATGGTCAAATTCATTTGGCTGATTGGATCGCATTCAGTCTGGATTTCCCCAAGTGGATCAAGGACAAGCGTGCAAACAGGGAGATTTTGTCGGCAAAACAGATCCTAGAGCGTTCCGCTTTGAGTGTGATGACCCAGTTAGCACTCCGAATTGAGCAGCATTTGAAAGACATCACCGCCGAGATTGAGGACCAAAAAGTCTTGAAAAAGAAAAAAATCAAAAAACCCATGAAGTGGGGATATGTGGCTAGCGCCATGGAGCTGGTTTTTGCCAAACAAGAATCTTTGACTGACCAGTGTTAGATGTTTGTATAGTTTTGGTTTTACCCTTTTTAATCTTTCTGTTATTCATTGACTAATTCCTGTGGGTGTCTCCCTCGCCAACCCGCTCCCAGCCCATCATGTTTTGCCGCCGTTGCTGAGGAACGCTTTCTCAAGAAAGCTTTGGAGCGAGTTGGAGGTTCACGGATTGGTGTGCCGTCTGCTGCACAGCGCATCAGTGCAACCAGACTGCACTATTGAATTACACTCCATTGATGATTTCTTTATCCATTATGCTTTCCCATTTAAAGCAACCACATCACCCAGAAACAAACATCTTTTATCTTTCAAGAAATGGACCTGCAAACCCAAACCAATTGCCATTGGCCCCCTGGAGCACAAGGTGAACGCATTAGCAGTGATCCGCCGGAAGCTCGTGGGCCAGGACCATTTGAAGGCCAGTGCTGCCATTGCATGAGTGAATATTGTGCAATGCAACATGCCAAACAAAATTTTGGCTGGTATTTTCCGAATGTACAGACTTTACCGACTGACCGGTTAATTATGTTTTTCAAGTGAAGTAAGTCTCTAGGAAGGTCATTCATCAAACTGGAGGTAGCACATAAACCCGAAACATGCCCAAACTCACACTGCGCCAGATCCTCTTTGATGGATCTGATGTTGCGGGGTCTCCTACAGAACTCTTCTATGTGATCGCCCCTTTGTTGGGATGTGGTGCATACAGTGCGCCACTGGCTTGGGGGCCCAGCAATGTCGCACAGCCGCTCTTGGGAGGGCGACTGCCGATGATTCAAGCTTTGGCTGGATGTTGTCATGGATGACGTTCATTTTGATCCTTTTCAAAATTTTCAAGGTCAAATGTGAAACATGGTTTTAGCTCAACTCAGAAATGCTGAATGTCATGGTGGTTAACTTGAGATTCATTGACAGTGAATTTTCTGAATCAAATAAATTGGATCATTGTCATCAAATACAACATGCCATGCCCAGTAAGCTTGGAGACGTTGTTGCATGTGCCAGCGCACGCCAACTCCATTCAGCTGAACCATCGCATTAAACACAGCAAATAAAATAATGGGTTCGAATGACTTCAATGTTGACCTTTATTTAATTATTACCCATGATCTTTCCCAAAACAAAAGTCCCCAAACAAAAGAAACATGTTGGATGTTCAGTTCTGATATGTCCTTCTCATTCTGAAGGCTGGCACTCCCAATTGTACAGGTTTATCCAAATGATTCTTAATATAATATATTCTGAACACAACCACAATGACTCAATTCAGAACAAAACTACTTTCCCAATCTGTTTCCAAACTGGCCGGCGCTGACCATGGCGTCTTCTCTCTCATTTGTCACCATCCGCTCGGGTGACGATGAAGAACCTGTGCCAACGCGAAGTTCAGTTTTGTCTGCAGCTCCATTTGAGGTTGCTTGACTTAAGAACATGCCGAGAATATGATATTCTAATATGGCACCGTCCAGATAAGATATGATCATCATCATGAATCTTGACTAGTGAAGTTTGGGTTGGTAGGCGAGGGTTGAACATGGTTGGCAGTTTCATCCCACCAATCAATCCTCAAAAATTGAGTTGGAAAAAAGACTACCAACACTAACGGTGCATGACACACACTTGCAAACTGCAGGTGCAAGAGGATGATACCCGTTTGACTATAGCAGCACGTTCTTTGCAAATGGCATGGGAAGTCATTCGCCGGGCAGTGCCGAGAGACACCCTTCAGGCCAGGTGAGTTACGGTTTGAGGCCCCTAGATGCCAATGCTTCAATGGGCCAGTTTATCAGCTTTGAACTGCAAGGGTTCACTCCTATAATTATTATATCAACTATACATGACATCAGGAAATCAAAAACCTTGTACATTTCAATAAGTCGGTCCAGTCATTACTTGAAAGGGTCTGAAATCTAGCATTACTCATTCAACTCGACACTTCAGATTTGTGGCATGTTACATGCCCAACCTCCCTTAACGTCTCGACCACACCGTGTGCCAGGGCACATTGCTTGTCCACGCCAAGAGAATGTCATCATCCTGCACAGGAGTGTTCACAGCTGAGGTAGGTGCAGCCCTGATTGAGAAAGTAGTAAATGAATCGGCTTGTGGACTTTACTGCCGCATTACCAGTGAGAGATGCCATGAAACTTGGTTTTGGAAACCCGTTGAGTTTTTATTTTTTGGTGGTTGTTGTTGTTACTATCTACTGTTTGATACTATCATCAATCAAAGCATCAACAAGCCGATTTTGCTGTTTTGTGGGTCCATCATTCATTCTAGGAATACAGCGTTCGGGCACAGCAAGTCGTCCATGACCATTCGAAGTGGATCAACGAGTGGGCTTATTGCTTAAAGCCCGAACCCCATGTTTTTGGCGACATGTTGCAGACCATCCCAACTGGATACTTTAGGGAGGAAGATGACTTCAACACACGCAGAAAGTGCATCGACAATGCTCCCTTGAACACTTCCCAGTTCTGTACCACACACGGTGGTTACTGCCCCCTGCTCAGGGAGGTAGACGTGGACATGTCAGGTCTCCCATGCGAAGACAACTCCCGAGCGAATTTCAAAAGGAAGTTCCTCCAAGGGGGGAAATTTGGAAGTTGCTACTTGGTTTGGGCCAAGCAACACCGTCATATGAGGACTCCTTTGCTGATCTTGGAAAACACCCCTGACCCTTAGTCTATTCCGAGAAGTTTTGACTTTTGGGGTTGAAGAGGGCTTCATTGATGAATGTTTTTTAGGGACTGAGCCGGAGTTACTTATATAATATAATATATATATAATATTCGATTGTATGGGTGGTTTGAGCTATGTTCGCTTTTAATTCAATTCAAGTCAGTTTAATTTCACCAATGTTTAGTTCAGTGAGCAAAATAAGATTACAATCTGAAAAGTCATCAAGATACAGAAGTTACATAGCATACAATACACAATATACACTGACTTCTGATTGCCAAGGACATCAAGGCAAACGAGATCTTGGAACTTCTGGGTGGGGAATATCGGATGCTGCAGCTTTTCGTGGAACCGTGGCATGCGGGCCATGGTGTGATTTCAAGACCCAGAACGTACATCTACTACTACAACACACAAAAGGTAGACTACAAGTACGATGTCTTTGAGTTATACCAACTCATAATCCATGAGATCACGAAGGTTGTTCAAACACAGCCACAAGACTACCTCATTTCAAATGACGTTGTCTATACACGGGACCTCATGGTACTGGCTACCAAGCGCGGACTACCTTTTGTGACAGTGCCATGCTTTAACTTACTGTCACTTCAAATGCTTTTTTTTTTTCGAGTTGGCTGTGTTGTTGTTTTGTGATTGTTGAGAAGCTTTCATTCATGAATTGTTATTGTTGCAGTTGGTATTGATATGATTCCATCAATGATGTCCTCCAATTGCCATCATTACAATAAATTGAATTGGTCTCACTGGCAAAACACTGAGGGGCGAACTACTGGCTGGGACTTGCTCAACGAGAGAGAGAGGAACGTAGTTCTTGAATACGATAAGAAGTACATGGAAAAGTACGGCCAATCTCCGCAATCGGATGAAACCCTGATTTATTTCACAGGTGACCGTGTAGAGTACAGTTTGACATGGTCAGCTCACAGTGGTCGGATACCGACATTCCGGAAGACCTCTGCCAAGTTTGTTCACCGACAATCTATGAAACTACTGACAGGGCAGGACAAGCTTGGGGCTTTAGCGTGGCCAGTAACCAAATCGGTTGCCAGCAATTTGGGGACCACGGTCATGCCAAGCATTGACCCGCAGAGGAGTGATTTCCTCGCTGGAAACTCAATGCACTTGGCAAACTGTTCCATAGTGCTGTTGGTTGGGCTTTCCTGTTTTGGCTACAAATGATAGGCAATTCAACAAATGTCATGCGCCGATGTGAAAAATGTCTCACTTTGATTTCGAAATACTCTAATTTGTGTCATTCAATCAGCCAAGAAGTCATTCATAATTCTATGGACACTTGACCGCCTACATAGCATGCACAGGGGAGCATCATTAGATAAAACGATGAACTGAAAGTCACTGAGTTGTGAACTTGTGCATTGTGAACTTGGTTTGTGTTTTCATGTTGAAGAGCTTCAAGATCAATCACTGTTGCAATTGTTGCCAGCCCTCTTTTGACCTGTTCGTTCTCATGGCGGGGCGACCTCCTAATTTCCCAGGGTCAAGTCGGCGCCCAAAGCTGCCAGCAGCGCCCCATGTGCTCATGCCCCCGCCACCACGCCCACCATCGATCCCAGTGCCAAAAGCAGGGTATGGGAGTGCTGCTGGAATGCCAAGAGGACCAGCGGTGAAGCTTGGGGGTGCGCCTACACCGCCGCTCCCCTCAGCATCCTCCCATGCTTTGGTGCCGTTCACCCCAAAAGCAAGTCCTCTGCTGCCCCAAGGGTTTTTGAGCTGCATCATTTCTATTTTTAGCTATGAAGGATTTCGGAATAACGTCCATGTTTGGTTTTACTACCAACTGCTAGCATTGGGATATAGCTGCCATTGATTGACTAAGGATTTCCTGGCCTGGTGGATCTGGCCACGCAGACACCCCAGAGCCAAAGGCCAATGCAAAGGCTTCCAACATCGGGCGCCGACCGCCAAGTTCCAGTGGTGGTGGGGGGGCGAAGAAGGCGATGGAGAAGTACAGTTCATCCTACACATCAATTTCTTTGGTCCCTGCTACTTAGCATCAAGATTATTATGTAACACAATGATTTGACCTTTCACAGATTTAATTTGGTTTTCAACTTAAGTTCAAATGGTTTCTGTTTTTCTTGGACCAGTGCGGTGACCAACTAACTAAGAACTTCCACATTGCCGAGTGGTTGCACCATATTCTACCAGATCGTTTTACCAAGTTGTTCTTGGGCAAGTGTTCCCGTGATGCCTTGTTGTCGTATTTGTTCCTCGCCACTGGCTTAGTCCCAGCCGACCGACTTCCCTCGAATCTTGGTGTGATGTGATTGATTGGCCAATTTTTTGGTTACAGACACTTTGTTTTGAGAGAGGGGTCACGTTGTTATTTAAATAATTAGTTTTCAGAACATTCTTTTTGAATAAACATCAAAGCAACCACAACTGAATTGTAGCTCCGAACAAGGGGACCCGTATCCCTTCCAAGCAGATAAACAAAAATGACAATGACAACTAAACAATCAATATTTTATAATATTTTATAGCTCCACTCAAGGCCTTTTCATGGAGCTATTGATCTTTCAGTTTGGTTGTGTTTGGTTATATAGTTTCTGGATGTTTCTGGAAGGTTCGAAATCTGTTTGCTCTGAATTTTCATTTCTTGTTGGGACTTGTTGACCAATGATATACCATCACCAGTGCCCCTACCAATCCTAGGTTCTGCCCCTACCAATCCTAGGTTCTACAAACAGGAGGTCTTGGACGCAATCTTGGCTGAATATGAACGACTTGGCCGGCCACTTGATGATGCAGACCTTACCCCAGATGCCATCACTGAATTTGTGGGGTCTCATTTCGCATCTGGAGGGGGGATGTCCACCTCATTTGGGGTGCCGCCACGCCCACCAACCGCTGGAGCAGCTGTGCCATCGGGAGGGGATGAAGTATCTTACTTCTACACCACGAGTGTGAATCATGATGGTCAGTGGGTGATTCATGCCTTTACATCGAATGGGGAGCATGTGCACAGCCAGGGTTTGCCCAACCCTGGCCACCCTGGGTACTACATGGTCATGTTTGACAATGGATGGTTTTTGCAAATCCCTGGCCAAGCGCCAGTGCCATGTGAAGATGTATTCATTGTTGAGTCCGAAAGTGCCCCACCATTACCTCCTGGAACTGCAGCTCATTCCTCCCTTCTACCCGGTATGGCGCCTGTTTCAGGTTGGTGGTTTGTTTGTTGGGTTTGCTGGGAACGTCATCTTATCGAATCTTAAACTGTCATGTTACACTTGGCTTCAATGATACTTTTACTATTAGTTAATCTGAGTTAGGCCAGAAAACCCAATCCCCAGAGCCATGGTCCTCGAGCGATAGGTGGCCAACCATCAGCGTGCCTGGCGATTGTGCCAATGGAAGCTGACGAGGAGGCAGCAGTTTGTTCAGCACATGCAACTCTTGCCATGCAAACATGTTTCAATATTTAGGCAGCATTCTAGCACGTGGTTATTCAGGAGAATTTCAAAATATATTGTGAAAAAATTGCTCAAGTCTCACCTTAAATCTTTCATTGGCAGATCATGAAAGGGGCCATCAAATAAGTAGTTGCCATTTGCTGGCAGGATTTCTCACCTGCAGAGCCTGCTGCTTCTGATCCACCCGAGATTGTTCAGAACCCTGATGGAAGCCAAACCCTAGTCCTCAGCGGCATGGGCCTTGACCTTCCAGCAGAAGCCCAGTGGAGATTGAGCCTGGAAGCTGATGGGGAGTACTATGTGACGGCTGATGGGAGAACATCGAAGGCGGTAAGCAAACTCATGAGGCTGAAGAGGGTCAGGAAGATTCTTGGCGCTTGTAGTTTTCAATGGGCTTTGGCTGGGCTTCAAGGGGTTTGGATGGTTTTGAATGGGTTTGAAGGAATTTCATCACTGGATTTTCCTATTTTCTGCCATTTTTGGAGGATTTTGGCCCCAGTCCAACCCTTCCCAGTCCAGCCCTGACTCATCACTAGTGACATGGCGCCTCCACGAGTCTTGCGGGCCTCTCCCATTTGCATGGCAAAGCCTGTGAATGAGAGGGAAGGGATTGATGGCGATGATGGCTTGGCAGGCAGTAACTGGTGGGTTGACCGGTCTGATCTGTTTTGGAGGCCCCTCAGTTACTGATGTGGTACTTTTTGAAATTTGTTTATTCGGGTTTTGGCCAGGGTCAACCTCCTTCAGGACATTTTCCCAGTTACCCAAGTTCACATACATCAACTCATTTAATTTAATATGTTTATTCTCATATGTATGCATTACTGTAAAGCATTCATAAGCTTGCACTCTATTTACAGACAGCGTTGCATGAACAGAATATTTAATACATATATTATATTAACACATATTAATTATGATACGTCGAAACTTGCTTGTGGATACCCAACATATTCTTAGAAGTGTGGGCGCTCATTGCACATATGTCTCCTAAGGTCAGATTGGACTATCCCTACTTCCATGCTTCCTTCCTCACCAGTGTACTTCGAGTCCCTGATGGTGCTTAGCCCTACTTCACCAGGGACCAGCCCGGGGAGCCCAAGAGAGAGAAGCCGCAGTCCGCTCAGGACTGGCTTGAACACCCCGACAAGTCAGATGAGTGTGTGGAGTTGTGACAATGACTACCCAATAGACGAATCCCCAGCTTCCACCCCTGTCGGATTGTTCTCGCCTCACACTCCTCCTGAGCTGCGATTGTTCTCGCCTCACACTCCTCCTGAGCTCCTGACGTCAGTGATGGAATCAATCCCAATGACACCGCCCGGTCCACCGCCAGATTCCCCATGCACACCCCAGTGCACCCCTGAAATGCAGTGACCAGAACAGTGAGCTGTTGGATTTATTTATGGGATTCGTGGCAATGGTTGAATCATGGTGATTCAATTGTCAATATCAAGTATCAGATCATGGCAAAGAAGACGTGTGTGTTTGGTAGAGCCTGAGTTGAAGGACTATCAGCCGCCATCATTGCATACTGTAATTATGGAATGGATGCAAAAGCATCTTAATCTTGGAATTTGCCACGAGCTTAGAGCAATTTGTCATGCCTAAGCCAAGCGATGGCCATTGAATCATCAACAGATTGTGATCAATGAATGCATTTTCTTCAGCTTTAGGATTTCTTTTCTTATTCTGGTACTTGCCATGCCAGGTTGACTAGCTGCTTACTTGAGGCTACTTGGAACTAACTAACTAGTGACTGCGCGACGAAATCAAAAAAATGTCAAGTGTGCGAATCACAGACATTCCACAATGATGATGAGAAAAACCAAACGAGAACATGTTCTTTTCAAACCGGTTCGGTTGGTCTGCAGAATGCAAACAAATAATAAATATTATTTTAATGCATAGTTGATGTACAGTGCACACACGCGTTGATACTATATGAGCATTCTATATTACGATTCACGTGCATACGCTTCAACCATAAATAACACTCATACAGAAACATATGCAGATACATAGATGTTCTATAATTTTGATGTTCGGGTTGTTTTCCATCAGCCCAAGGGTGGAGCCGCTTGCTCCTGCAGCCACACCGGGTGATGCTCCTGCTGCAGCCACACCAACGCCTGCCAGTACTGAGACAACTGACGCTGTGACTGATTCGACAGCTCTAACGGCCACAGAGCCGGTGGTTGAGAAGGCCTCTGCCCCAGCACCAGTGGTTGACCCCCCCAAAGCTGCTGCCCCAGCGCCTGTAGCAGTTCCCAAAGCTGATGTAAAGGCTCCTGCGCCAAAGGCCGAGAGCAAGGGCAAGGGGAAGGGCTTGAAGCTGCCCGAGTGAAGGGAAATCAGGACCGCAAGTTTTTCCTTGCTATAGCCTCGCAGCATCATCCAACAAAACATGTTTTTGTCAAACAGATACAGTGTTCAAGTCAAAAACTTAAAATAAGTATTATATAGTTATGAGAGGGATTGTTTTAAGTTTTGAAATTTGATTTGAAACATGCAATGGCGCTGAAAGCAAGGACGTGATTGGCTTCCTGATGGTTCTATGTCAATCACCCAATGGTTGTGTCCTACTGTTTCAAGTTTCAGTGGTTCTTAATTTTCTTGAGAACCCACTTGTGTTGCTGAGTCATTGCGTGAGTATATGATTGATCCGAGTGACACATGGGTGTGGGACATTGCGTTTTTGACAATGGTGTATTTACACCCCAGATCGCATCGCTGTTAAGCAAAAGCAATGTTGGCTTGGTGACAGTGTGGGAGTGGGAACTGCCAATCTGTAGTACCCAACAACAAGACCCAGTACATCATGGCAAAATGTATAAGCATGAATCGGTCAAAAGAATACACCATTAAAAGTTGGTTGAATGAATGAATGTTGAAAGAACGGGTGAGTACACTATGAGCGGTAAACCTAACATGACCCTCACCCTGACTGCCCAAACCAAGTTGTGAGCGGGGAAGCCTTGCCTTAGGCCCTAGACCCTTTTGCCTTGTTCCACGACAGTGAAGAAGCAAGGCTTTTCAGGCGCAAGTGTCCTGGGGATCCAGTGATTGATGGTGGTGATGGTGGCTTTGTTTGGTAGCAGGCGTGGTGATTGTTTTACTAAGGATGGCCCTGCTAATAGTTGAACTTGTTGATATCATTGACTAATCATGTCAAGCAACTAGATCTTGATTGATAAGACTATTTGCTTCAATTATTTACTGCAAAGCTATTGTGTCATACAACTCAGACGTCTAAGTCACTTCACTTCGCATTGGCAGATAGATGATGCACCCACAAAGAAAAGATTGGACTTCAAAATGGTTGTGTCTAGACCATATCGATTTACTGTCTCCTTTAAAGATCTACATGACCTCAATCTTTGTTCCAATGACCCAACACCTGATAATGATAAAATTGATGAGACCATTGAAACCTTGCACATGCAGCAGGTCTTTCAACAAGAAGGTCAGCAACGCCGTGTATGCGCGCTGGCTGCAAATCGTTCATTGGTTGATTCGTGAGTCATTGTCATTGACAATGAGCCAGTGAGCTGTTGCAAATTCACCCACCATTGTCTTCCCATCATGATTTGCTCCCACCACCCTCACCCTCGTCTTATCATGCCAAAACAGAATCTGAGGTGTTGATGAGGGGCATGAATCACTCCTTGAAGTTGTTGACCGACCACATCTTGGAGGACTTCATGATCAAAGAGCCTTTGCCAGGGCTCGGGCTGCGGGCTATTGAACAGGCAAGGGTGTCCCCATTACAGGACCGACCTCTCTTAACAATGGATACTCAGTTACTGAACACGTGCAATGTTTGTTTATTTTATTTTCTACTTGACGGAAAGCCAACAATGAACCAACCCCAATCAGTTTTATGTATCACTATGGTCCATTTTTTGGAAAATGAAAACAATAATTTGGGGATACCAATCCACTTCATCTGAGGTTGCTGACGAGGAAGCTGTGGGTTTCCGATGCTTCAACATACTATTGGCTCTGGGATTGAGGGGCTTAGCGATACCCGATGTTTCTCATCAACAGTGGGGAGACTATGGTCGTGCTATTTACTCAGCAGGGCTGAAGGGAGCAACCTTGAAGCTCACTCTCATTTGCGCAAATGGGTCAGGGCCATACACTAGTGGAAGGAACCACTTTACAAATGGGAGGGCAGCAGAACTTCTAATTGAGGGGAAAGATGCCGAATGGTTTTCTCAGTTCACCACTGATTACTGCTTTGACCAGCGTGTTCCAGAGGGTGAAACTCTGCTCACAGCAGATGATTGGATGCAATCTCCCGGTATTGCTGGGAGGTTGAAACAGGCCACTGAAGTCAAAAGTAAGTAATGCATAATTTGTGTACTGACCCTGAATAATAATAGTTGTTGTTGTATGAATTATGTTACGTTGTTGGTGGGGGTGATAATATGAATGATGAACATCGGTTTCAGCAAACAAAAAATAAACCAGTAACTTATACAGCCCGAGGTCACAGTCTGTGTGTTTACTGTTATGGTTTGAGTAGGTGTTTCAGAGTGGATGGGTCTGGCCGGGTCAGGCCAAGAACAAGAGCTGGTTTGGAATCGTGGAGGCATACACAATGCTGGATTCTTGTTGGACCGTCCTCTCTGAAACCTCTCGTTTTGCCCAAACACTTCTGGAAAACTTGGATGACGATTGGGACCGAGAGGATGACGATGATGAGGAGTGAGTGAACCAACAAAAACTGACATGGTTTTTCAGTCTTTCTCATTTGTAAGTTCTTGATTCTACCAGTCTACTGAGATTAATGATGGCTGAAAAAAGCCATCATCACACATATTCATCTGCAAATACATACACATCGTAAATAATATATATTATATAGATAGACTGATAGACAGATAGACAGATAGACAGATAGATAGATAGATAGATATATATCAAGTTGATTATGCACACATATTTGCTATCATTGCATATGCTTCATTGCACATAGAAACTACAATTGGCTCAGCATAGATAGGGGGATCCCAGTCCACACACATTGCGGCGCAGCCAGGAGGCAGGGCCGACTGCTGATGAAATGGATCCCCAAACGCAGAAGCAACTGCAACTCCTCAGGGAGAACTACAGCAACACTGCGGCATTTGTGGCTGACCTTTTGAGTGATCGCATGCTCCAAAAACAAGCACGACTCATTTGCCACTGTTTGAAGCCCCTACATGAAGAATACCAAGCAGACTTGAAAGCTCATGATCTGGGGCAAGAATCTGTTCTCTACTGGCATGGTGACAGGGCCTCCGGCCACTACTACAAGGGTATGGTACGCAAAACGTTGGGTCTTTTGCATGACACTAGCATCATTACCTTGCTGGATTTGAGACCTCATCCTGGGCTGCCTTCGCAAGTCAAGGACAGTCAGGATCCTGTTGTCGCACAAGATCTTAAGCTCATCCAACAATACTACAATTTCATTGTAGAATTGTCAGCCAACAGGTGTTGGAGCCAAAGTTTTTGGACCCTTCTCATGCCTTACTCCATCGCTGGCTTGTATGCTTCTGATGTGGTTGACCGACGGCGCTGTCAAGTGCTGTGTACAAGGATGGCTGAGGCATTGCTGAAGCTGGAGGATTTGATGGCAAAAGCCCCCAACAACAGTGATCTACGAGGTCTACGTGACAGTCTAGGAACTGCTGACTGGCCATTGCTCAGGGAGGTTTTGGTGCTTGGACTCAAAACGAAATGGGATCCAACCAATGATGAAATGCGATTGCTGGTTTTCACCTTGTTTGCTGGACCAGGGTCAACCAAAGATTCATTGGAATCGTGCTTCAACTGGCTGAAAGACTCTGTAAAGGTGAACAAGAGCAAAAAAATGCACCCTTTCACAAAGTTCTTCTACACCATGGCAAACCCCTATGTGAAGCATGCTGGAGTCGAACCGATTCGGCCCACCATGGGTGATTTTCAACAGCTTTTGGATGAGGGCTTCCGTGACTCTGAAGTGACTCAACATCATGTGTTTGGGTACACGAAAACTCCTCTTGGGAAAGACTTTCCCCGTCCAAACCAGTTGATTGCCAACGCCAAGATTCGGAAAGCAGGGTTCCACTCCAATCGCAACGCTGCAGCGGCATCGGCGTTCATGCTGCATGACTCTGTCCACAACTTCATCCATGCTCCAGAGTGTTGGCCAGGTAGGGTCAGTGGGGCTTGAGGTGTCGTCGCAACATGCTAACATTATGCGTGTTGCATGATGATATGTCTACAAAATGGCCAGTGATTGTATTAAATTGCATTGACATATATTATATAAGTGAAAACTTAAAACTGTTTCAATCATCTTGCCGTTGATCAGCCCAAACCAAAAGTGATGAAGTCCATCATATATAATCCGCCCACTTGCAGGCTGCATGTTCAAGCGTGGAGAGATCTATGTGAACGTGCAGAAGAACGATTACCACCTCAGTCTTGGATTCAAGGCTTATGGCGTCATGGCAATTCAAGTTCGTCGTGTTGAGGACTGGGGTTACCCAAAAAAAAGCTAATATCAATAGTATTGTTGTTACATTATTTCAATATTAAATCCATTCAAGCAAGATAAGTATTATAAAACCGACTAGCTGCAGTAACCAACTAGTACTACTGTCTTTTGTTTCATGAAGATTGTTTATTTTTCAGGACATCATCATTGTCGAGCCGGGACAGCGGGCGCCCAAATGGCTGTTCAATTACACGGTTGGGGAACATTGTCCATACCTGTGGGTGCCCACTAAAGTGCTGCCACCAGCATGCATCCACCCTAGCATTGGCCAAGTGCCTTTAGCGATCCAAGTGGTGAGTGAACCCCAGCCTTTGGCTGAATCTTCATTGAAGAGCGGTATTTTCTTGACAGTGAAGCAATTGCATTCAATGCTGGCTGCTTTTGAGATTAAGGAGCCGGAACCAGGAACAGGTTCTGGTAAGAACAAGAGGGTCATCAAAGTGGATTTAGCTACTCGCTTGATTGAGACGCTCTTCCCTGACGCCACTGATCAAGAACGAGCGTTCATGATCACATCGACCATGGTCAGAAAACAAATCAATTTGGAGGAGGCGCCAGAACTACTTTTGAAAATGACTTCGTACCTAGACACAAACGAGGTGCAGCACTTTTCGAAAGTTCGCAAAGCAGCAGTGGATCAGCTTGCGGTCGAGTCCATGAAAAAGAACTTGGCTCGTCGGCTCAAAAAAGGGGAGCAAGATGATGATGATGGGGATTGCCCAGAGGGCCCAGCTTCATCGAAAATCAAGCCCAAGCGCCCTTTGGAAGAGCCCGGTGCGCCCGCCCCACCTACCAAAAGGCTGAAGAGTGAGGCCGAACTGCATGCAGAGAAGTTGGGTCGGCTCAATTGCAAGGCCCCTCAAGAGTTCTTAGCGCTTTTCCCATTATGTTCCTACTGCTACTTCAAGTGGCTCCCGCAGAACAGCCGTGTGACGGTTGAGTTCAAGCAGCGTTTCTTGGACTTTTTTTTGGCCACTTTACTTTTTACCAAAAAAACATCAGGGAGAGTGGTAGAGGTGGGGTGGAGGCTACTGACAGGTGACAGTGGGAGGCTGCGGGTCAATGTATATATATATATATATATAAGTTTATTTTGCAGGCATCTGAAACCACTAAGGTGTGAAAGATGTCCAACGTACCAAATCACAACGCTGGTACCCCAACAAAGACCCAGAGAAAGAGATTGAGAGCAAGATTGACGCGTTAGAGACTGTTTTTCATTTTGTTCAAACGATGTATCACCGTTTTTGGAAGGATGAGCAAGATTTCAATGCTCAGTACAGAGCTCCCTCTAGGTCAAATCTGAGGGAAGCTTTGATTGCAATGGAACAGCGCAAAGAGGCTGAGGATAAAAAAACATCTGCATGAAAGAGTGCAGCAGCAAGAATCTGAATCTGAGAGCGCGAAACGTGCACCAGAAAAAAAAAAAAAACATTTGAGCGCAGTCAGTCGACACAAGCCAATCATTCATGATAGAAATCAAGTAATCGTCAAGCACAGTTCCCTTGAGTATGTTTGAAGCTTATTTGAGTAAAACCATGTTTGAGGGGTACCAGTTGCCCCCTCCCACAAAGAACTGTATCAACATAACAACATACCAACATAACAACATACCAACATAACAACATACCAACATACCAACATACCAACATACCAACATACCAACATACCACCACCACAGGCCACAAGGGGGGGGACCAGAAGAACCATACCACCACCACAGGCCACAGGGGGGGGGAGGGACCAAGAAGAACCATACCACCATCCCAGGCCACAGGGGGGGGGACCATGGGGGGGGGCTTGGGAGTCCTGGGTCATATATAGTATACCATCATGAGTGGCAGAAGGAAGCCGTTTCTGCTGATGAAACCTGACTTTTCTTGTGATTAACATTGATAAACCCTTCAGTTCCGGTCGTTTATGTCCAATTTCGACAGTTCAAACCTCCGTTTCTGGTAGCTACCTCCCCTGTTTTGGTTGGTTCAATCCCCCAAAACAATCCCCATTTCTGGCCGTTTAATCCATATCTCTCGTTGGTCATGATGGTCTAAATCCCAATTTTTGGACTGTATAACTGAATTAGTCACTGAACTCAACATCTCAAGTTGTGCTTTTGTTGGATGAAACCACATGTCTGAGGTTCTGGTTCATCCTCCATTTTCCCATCCCCAGAATGGGAGATTTTGCCCCCAGCCCAACTGGGGCTCGCGCTAGGCCCTGCCCAATTGATTTCAGCCGCCTGGGACTTCAACAACTGGCCGAGGCGGATCCGCTGAGAGGGGCTTGATGGAGTGTCTATCAGTGACCTGAGGGCGCCTGTGCCCATACTTTTGCCGCTTTCACCATCGACTGCCACATGGGGTATGCGCAGACACCCCTGATGGTCCAGAAGATGCAGCTGCGCAGCCGAAAGCAGCGTCAACAAGCTGCGATGACGTCTTGACTGCTGAATCAGGATGTCGACCCCAGCAAATGATTGATGGCGAAGTCGCTTGGCAAAGCATGAGTGTCTAACATCAGCACAAGCGATTTCCGCCGCATCGCAGCCCTAGCACTGCTTGAGCATCACCACATCAGGCTCACAGGACTCATGCTTTGTAGTTTGCTAAATAGTGTTGCCCCTGGCTGCGGGGGTTGAAATATGTCGAGCCGGTTTCATGTTTGGCATGTTTACAAACAAAAACCGTGTTTACTAAGGAAACCAATTTCTCACCCTGAGAATGAGACTTTGTTTGGGAGGTATGGTATCTAAGTTTGGCCATGAGATGGGTAAAATAAATAAAAATAAAGCAACAAATGAATACAAATGCTGGATTTTACCCAAAATCATTGGCAGGGTGCAAAATTTGGACCTTCCATCAACGCTGTCGAGTTTGATCAATAGAACTCACCAGGAGATTCAACCAACCAACATGCTTCATCCCAAGCAATTCAAGTTGAGAGTCCAGCAAGCCCACTGCTCATGGACAGTCTATTCCGCACCACTTCAGAACACTGAAATGATGATCGGCTTACTCATGTACGATCATTTATATATAGATTGGGTGCATTTGCTGCTGCGAGATTTTTAAATAATTTATCCATTAAAGGTCCTTTTTTGAATCCCTTCGCTAGTTGCGGGTGTGAGGTGTTCCGGATCATCCATGAATCGGCCTCTGTGGAGGTGGCGCTGCGACTTCAACGGGAATTCCCGGATGGAACGGCGCCCTTGTACCGGCCGGGAGCACCGGTGTGAACGGGGTTCGCGTTTTAAAGATATCCCTGCAAAAGAGGTCCTACCCACAAATAATAAAGATATATTGGTTGGAGTCTGGAATCCCCGCACTAGTATGTTCTTAGGAGTTGGGTAAAAACACCAACTGGAGGATCTGGAATACCTGTTGAATACCCCTGGTAAAATGGCCCGGGAAGACCCACCATTTGATGGTCATCTTTGAGGTATGCTTGGGCTCCATGCTCTGCAGAAACCTTACTGTAAGGTTTGTCAATCGTTTGTTTCATAGCTCTAAATTCATCGAAATTCGGAAGTTCATATTCAAAACGCAGATGTGTGATTGTCAATGATGTACACCATTATTCACCATGATATTCACTTGATTCACCTATTTTTCAGCTATTTCAACCTCTATTTCAATGGTTAATTCAGCCGGGCTGAAAACTCACCCAGGCTGGTGCGAGCTTTGGAGGCGACGGATGGCGGGTTGTCGTTTGTTGTCATGTCCTGCAGTTGGGAAGTGTTGGGAACTGTGAAATAATGGAATTCCAATGGGATAAATATTGGGATAAGATACAAAGAATGGGATTATAATATACTATGACCAGTTGGTAACTGAGCTACAGCCGAAATGTAGGTTAATGGAGAGTAGTATTCGAGCGGTCTCATTTTTTTTTGGAAATTGAGCTGGGGCTTGGAAAACGATAATACACTCTTCAAAAAACGATAACATTTACTTATATACCAAAACCTGAAAAACGATAATACACTCTTCAAAAATTGATGACTTGGAGCTAATATACGTGGCCCAACTACGAAAGACTGACAATAATGGGATTATGGGATTCCTATGGGATACACCATCTCCCAATCCACAGATTACGTAAGTCCCCTTTTTTCGTGGGTTATCCCATGGATAAATGGATGAACTAACTATGGTTACTCACCAATTAGGAGATAATCCAAGTAGGGAGAAATTTAAGTTCTCAACCACTGGACTTTGGGGGTAGCCGCTACTTTCGGACAAAGCCTTTGAAAAAGATAGAGAGCGAAAGCTATGGTTTTCTGTTCAAAATTGGGATTTTCGGACGCATTATGGTATCACATGATGGGTATCTGAATATCTCATTCCGGAAAATGTTTGTTGCCACCTCAATAGATAGGCAGACAGACAGGCAGGCAGGGAGACGGACAGGCAGATAACCAATGCGTGTGACATCCACATTGCCATATCAAGGTCACATCCCAGACTATACATGTACATGCTGGAAGAGATAGGTATCTATGAAACAGGGCAATTCCAATCCAGCATATCATACCACAGATGAGAGAACACATGGCATGGTATATACCATACATCATCCATCCACTCATCCAGTATATCTGAAAGGATGCCATGAATATACCAACTCCAGCCAGCCATCCACAGGCTGAAACCAAGATCCTGCCGAGCGCCCGGCAGCAGGCCCGGAAAGAGTCTCCTAGGTCAACCATGGGAAAGTCACCTATAAATGGGGAAATTAAGGGGGATAGAATCAGTGGATTCGTTGAAGGGAAAATCTACAAGAATCCACTGTTGGTCTGGTTTTCTGTAGATTTTCCTGAAACCAATCCATTGAATATTCGAAATCTATGTCCTATTTGGAAACAAATCATAAATCATAATCATTCATAAATCCATCAACAGCTACATGGGTGTTTTTCAATAGTTGGGCTACCCATGGCTACCCCAAAACTATGGGTTTTGCCATTTGGGCCGACAACTTGGATCATGGGGGTTGCCCATAGGACACCACCTGTCAATCATTCTGAGGCTTGAGGGAAAATGTATGAACATGTTAAATGATACCAAAACTGAAGACATGAACCAACAAAGCATAACAAAATAGTTTTTTTTAATATACCCTTCGGTAATCAAACATGGCTATGGAAACTTGCCCGTTTATAGATTATTTTCCCATTAAAGCCTGCCATTGCTACGTTTGACTACTGGAGGGTAGGTAAGGAATACTGCTAATTGGCAGCATTATGGAGTGGTGGCGCCTGAACCTTGTGCAGCTGGCTGGTAATTTTTGCCCCAGCTACATGAGCAAGTCATGTTGGATGCCCTGCTTCCAGCACTTTGTGGTTGACACAAATACCTACTACGGATTTCAATGAGCCAATCCTAGCTATTTTTAGATATCTAATATGAGATCGTTCCTCAACATCTACAGGGGACATGTATTTAAAAATAACCACCAGATGAGTTTGGTATCCCAAGCAGCTTGGACCGTCCAGGATCAATTGAAGAAATGGTTGGAGCCAGCGCCAGGAAGAGGGACGAGAGTTGGGGAAAGTTCTTATGCGGAATTTGTTGGCAAAACATGTAGAACTGCATGGAACCATGGCCCAAAGTTAGTCAATTTACTTCGATGAAAAAAACGATTCGATGCAGTTACCAAATTATCGTGATTTCCAGTTCGCAACGTTCAATAACCAGAGGGCCTCACTACTTGGTGGTTTCAAACATGAGATGATGATCCCAGCTCAGTTTGATGTTTTTCAGGGGAAACCACCAAAAGGTGGGAGTGAAAAAGATGTTTTGCCAATTACGGATCATCTGGGGATTCTCTTTTACAACGATGTTAGGTTCTTAGAGTGTTCGGACTGTTGGCAATTGAGAAGCATGATGGTCCCAACAGTATGGACAGTATGCCGAAAGGTGCTTATTTAAGAGCGCCCCAAACATCGGAAGATGGCATCTACAAATGGCGATGTCCAATGGTAGAATAAATTTCCCTCTGGTAAACAAACATAGCTATTGAAAATTGCCATTTATAGTTGATTTACCCATTAAAAATGGGGATTTTCCATAGTTATGTAAACATTTACCAGAGGGTATACTACATGACTTCTGACATGTTATTGTTTTGAAAATTCATGGCGAACGCCTTGGGGCGGCCCTAGATTTCTCCAGTTCTTCGTGGCTGCAGGAGATGCCTTGCGTTGGCCGATGATGCTGGGATTCGAGGCGAGCCTGTTGAAGACACGACAAAGATTGCGGGGATTCAGATTTTTTTGAGTTTCATAGGAATAGGG